ACAGTTAAAAAAACCTCCTTAGTGCTAAATACAGAGGATGGTGTTCTTGTAGTTTGGATGGTTCGGGAGAAAAAAAACTGTTGCCCGTGAATTGACGGTAGTCCAGAAATGGATGGGTAACATTGTTTCGCATATTTTCAGTTAGTCCCTTCTCATTAAATTCGGATTGGGCCAAACAGAGGCATTTAAGAACCGTTGTTCGCTGGTGGCCAAAGAAATCGCCCGTGGGGAAATGGACCGGGGGATCAAAGACCACGAGCTCCTCCACTACGGTAGATAAAATCGGTGGAATCGGCACTCAGATTATATGGGATATTTTCTGACTGCAAAAAACGAGTAATGGGTTTCTTAAAAAAATTTGCAGAATTTCTGAATTCCGGGGCAATTTTTTCCAGATTTCAATTGCGTTCGCAGAAAACAAATGACGATATTTAACGGAAGGTGCCAGAGGAAGAAATAAAGAGACCTCACGGTGACTATTACGTCGATGGGGATCAAGAGGTTTTAAAATAGTAAGTGGGTTAAAAGTATGGTTGTTTATGATCTTCAACAGTAAAAAATAGTCCCTTTGCAGTCGAAGAAGCCACAAGGGATCAAGGCCTGTAAACTCGTGGCAGGACAGGGTTCACTACCATATGCAACGCGGTTAGCTAACCTTCATCTCTTTCCCTTGAGTTACAGGCAGTTACGGGGTGACCTGATACAAGTCTTCCGTATCATACGCGGTCAGGACTGCAGCCTCGTACAGGGTGACTTCTTCGAGTTAGCAACCACCACAAATCTACGAGGCCATCCATTCAAACTACGTGTGACAGGGCCAGACTGGACACACGAAAGTTCTTCTTCTCCAACAGAGTGCTAGAAGCCTGGAATGCCCTGCCTGTGGATGTCGTTATGTCTGCTTCCGTCGAGGTTTTTAAGAGGAAGCTGGATTTGTGTAGCAGTGTGCACTAAATTACCACCCCGATCTCTGTAACCTCGACAAAGTCCGCTATTATAATACTACTTGCTATATTTCAGTAACATTTTAAATTGAACTTATTATTGTGCCAACCCATCGCCTACGCTTACTGACATGCACCTATGCAAATTTTGTCCCCGGATATATTATTTATTTCGCTGCACTCGAAACGACAGTTCTACAACTGCTCGTACCACTAAAATTCGAGACAGTTTGTTTGTCTGTACAGAGCTGACGCTTTTCCGATTATTTGTTACTTTATGATACCTTTTCGAGTTTTTGAGATTTTGCAGTTGCTTGTAAACAAATAGGGAGTTCAAAGGTGAAGACCTACATTTCCCTCAATAAACTGAACTGAAAAAAAAACTCGCAACGTCCCTGGTAGGTCAAGTATTGGTGGTCTAAGGTCAGAACTCTGTTAATAAGAAAATGTTGAACGGATTCTTTTTTCTTGCGCTCAGCAACACCCATAAAAACGAACAGTATTCCAGGCCAATTATGACGCACATTTGTAAGGCGCAGTCTAGTATCACAAGTTTTAAAATTTCGAAAGGCAAACCCGGTCGTTCTGCTCCGAAAGATTAAGACACTTGGAGTATGATAGACCCAGATCCTTCATAATTTCAGGCACATTTATGTCGTAACTGACGATACTTAGTGGGAGTTGGTGGTCAAAAAATAGAAAGGCGCCATGTGGGGCATCAGTGTGCAAAGGTTTATAGGCCACTCTTTAGGAGTTGGAGCATCATGTCCCGATCTGCAAGCTTATATGTATATCCAACTTTCCAATTATCGCCATACATGAATGGCGTACCACTTCTGGATAAATCAGACACTACGAACATCAATCGCTGAACATTTAGGACGCTGTCGCCGAATTACCCTATCCATTAAAATTTCCCTTTCTGTGTGTAGACCCGCTTTCCACGATATCACATAAGAAATTTTGATTCCTGTCGGTTCATGAATATTTTCCTTCATGACGCACCGTTTTCCTTGTAGTGACACTGTCCTCTTTCGGAATAGGTGGCAAACTTTTGAATTTTATATCCTCTTACCTGGGCACTCGTACACAACGAGTTAAAATTTCCAATACCACCTCCAACCCCACACGTGTGAGGAGTGGAGTCATTCAGGGTAGTGTACTCGGCCCGCTTTTATTTTGCCTTTTCGTTAATGATGTACCCGATTTATTTCAGAATGGTAAGCCTTTCATGTATGCCGATGATCTTAAAGTTGCATATCGATATAAGCCGGCAGATCGTGACATCGTGCTTGAGCTCCTAAAGAGCGATCTACAGGCATTCGTCCAGTGGTGCCGCACATGGCGCCTTTCTCTTTCTTGGCATAAGTGCTCAGTCATGGTGGTTGGCAACGACCACCAACCTCAACTAAATATTGAAGGTCACTCCATAAATGTGCCCAGGGTTATTAAGGATCTGGGCATATCATACTCCAAGAGTCTCAATCTCTCGGAGCACTGTGCCTTGATAGTCTCCAAAGCACGCAGAACGACAGGGTTTATCCTCCGAAACTTTAAAACTAGGGACATCAGAATGCGCCATTACAACATGTACGTTAGACCTGGTCTGGAATACTGTTCGTTTGTATTTAGCCTCATGCGTGCTACTGAGCGGAAGAAAATAGGATCCGTTCAACACTTTTTTACCAAGAGAATTTTAACCCCAGAACACCGACATTTGTCTTACCAAGAACGTTGCCGGCTTACGGGCCTTGATCCTTTATGGTTCCGTAGATTACAAAAGGGACTATTTTTGCTATTTAAACTCTTATATAATCACACATTTAACCCACTCACTTCTTTAAGACATCATATCCACCCACGACGTAATAGTCACCGTGAGGTCTTCTTATTTCTGCCTCTGGTACGTACTGTTAAATATCGTCGGTTCTATTCTGTAAATGCAAATGCTATTTGGAATAAACTACCAATGAGTGTGAAAACGCTGCAAAATTATCCTTTATTTAAGAGAACTATTACTCGATTTTTGCATTCAGAAAAGCTTCCTCAAATGTTGGGTTTGTAGTCTCTGAACACTATGGCCGGTCTCACCAGCTGTTCCTCAACGCCTCTACCTTGACTATCCCCAACTTCCTGAAAGGAATTGACGTCCGATAATCTCCGATACCGTGCAACCCCCCCCCCCCCCCCCCTTCTTGACGGTCGAAAATCTACCGCCAGCAGTTTTTTTTTCTCCTGAACCCTCCAAGCCATAAAAACCACCGTCAACTATATTTTTATTCTTCAGGAGTTTTTTTTCACTGCTGGTCGGATTTGTGTTTAATCGCTTCCCTTTACAATGCCTGTAAACTGGCATTTGATAATAAATTAAATTTAAATTAAAATTAGTGGCTCTACTCCGAGCGCCTGTCTCAACGCTGGGCCCTTTGCGAGAGTTTGCACGTACGCACCAAGACTGTCTGGCATTCGCCCACTCGGCTCTCCAACCGGCCAATTAGATTCAAGGCCTAGTCAGACGTGTCCTGCCTTAAGACGCTAGGAAAAATTTCTTTGCTAACTTGAGACGCTGCTGAGCCGGCGACGGACGTGACCACGTCCGGCCGCCAACTACCTCCAACTACTTTCTCAGTTAGTCTGTAGAGAATATATTATCCTCTCTATTTGAGTCCGTCTTCCCTTTCCTTTCGGGATCGATCCTGAAGGTCATGGTAGCCAGGGTCTCACTCTAGGCCTAGCCTGCCGCGATAACCTGTCCCACACATAATAACAATAATAAATGTTTAGTAAAGACCCATCGGGGTACCATAAAAGCAAGTAAAAATAAATTTACACATGAATTTCTGACGAGGTAGGCAAAATCTGTACAAAGTGCAATTCATATTTTTTGAAATAGTAGTTCGTTAAGAAAAATGATTAGCGAGGGGTGAAAAAAAACTCCAAACGGAAATTTAAAAATGACTGGATTGATTTTACAGGAGAAAAAAAAACCCTCGAAAAAAATAGAAACAGAAAAATGCGGGCAGGACTGGCCTGCATGTGGCGGTATAGAATGGATTATAATCGGACATCGACAGGACAGAAATAAATTTCAGCTGTATATGACATTGTATAACGGATTTCATGAAGGGGTAAGTAGGCGGGTTGGTCAGGACTGGCCTGTATGTGGCCTTGAATAAGGCAAATAAGTGGCGAAATTGAAAACCAGTCTTGAGGCCACAGGAACCCAGATGCGGTCGGTTACATTCACCCGAGTCCATCCGAGGATGGGGCAGGGAGATGCGACCAGACTACTAGTATATGGCGAATACAGAAGGTTTCGCCAAGAGCGTCGATGGAGCTCATTCTGTGAGGGCACGATGCATGAACTGAAAAAATTGGAAAAATTAACATTTCTGGTGAAGGATCTTAGGAAGCGATACGACTCACAAAGGAAGGAAATGTGAGCAGATACGGAAAGTTAATGGCGGCATACTAAATTCCCGGTGGCCATTTCTCAGTGTCATAGGGAAAGTTGTCTGGGAAGGATGAGGAAAATAAATGTGTGATCGAGTCAGTATTCCGATAAAGGCGTAGCCTTCTCTTAGAAGTATGTAGATTATCTGAAAATCTTATATTTATTGGAAGGGTATTCCAGAGGAAAGTATATCTGGAAGCGAAAAAAGGGACCGCTTAGAGGTGGAGGACGCTGGAGGAAATATAATCAAGGATGAGTTGCGAAGATTGTATGGGCGACTACTAGGGGTGGGTGCTGAAATCCGAGGAAAATTTGAACTATGATTAATGTATAAGAGACAAACCCATTAGTTGGGCACAGCGAGTAGGCTATCCAGGAAACGAAAATAGCAGTATCCCAATAGTTGCAAACTAGTAAATAATAACAAAGTCGTCAGCAGGTAAAAGTGCACGTGCGCGTTCTTTGTCTTATTCAAAGTTGTGTCTAAGCGTATTGTAACTGATTAAAGCAAAACAGATTTAAATGTCACTACAATACTCCCCCTCCTAGGAGAACGGAGTTCCAAAAAAAAATATTGTTAATAGAAGGAAAATGTGGGAGTGTTATGCATATTGTACAAGTTGGTAACGGTCGGGAAAACGGACATGACGACCGCTGCGCGTAAGGGGAGGAGTCTGTGGGATAAGGGAAGACGCGGGATTATTGGGCGTAAATGGAGTCTGGGAAATAGCAAGTGGCAATGTGCCAAGTGGGGGTTGTTCGGTTGGAGAAGTTGGAAGAGGCTCGGTATAAGCCGCCTTCAAGCGATCGATTGAGACCACGTCGGTGCGGCCTCCACGGTCAATTGTAAAGTGCTTGTCCTTGCGCGATAGTACTCGAAATGGGCCGTCATAGGGCTGTTGTAGTGGCCGGCGAACGCTATCTACGCGGACAAATACAAAAGAACATGTTAGTAAGTTCGGGTCGACGTACGACTTACTTGTTGAAGGACGTGGAGGAGTGGCTCGAAGATGAGTCATGGCTTGGCGCAATCTTTGCACATAATCACTGGGATCCAAGTCGCCTGAGCTTTGAGAGTGCCCGAAAAAATCCCCGGGAATCCGTAGGGTGGTACCGTAGACAAGTTCGGCAGCGGAACACTCCAATTCGGGCTTAAGTGCGGTACGGATACCGAGCATGACCAAAGGCAGATGCTCGCTCCAATGGGAAGGGTTGTCATGAGCTCGGAGCGAGGCTTTGAGTTGCCGGTGGAAACGCTCGACTAAGCCGTTGGATGAGGGGTGGTATGCTGTCGTGCGTATGCGAGAACATCCGAGGAGGTTGGTAAGGCTGTTAAAAAGTCTAGACTCGAATTGTTGGCCTCGATCGGTGGTAATAGTTGAGGGGACGCCATAATGAGAGATCCAGTGTTCCAAAAAAAGCACGAGCAACGGAATCTGCAGTTATGTTATGTATGGGAGTTGCAATGGGCCAACGAGTAAATCGGTCAATCGCAGTAAGTAAGTAGTTGCAACCACGAGATGTTGGAAAGGGACCTACCAGATCGATATGAACATGTGAAAAACGTGCGTCGGGTGCGAGAAAAGTGCCAATGGGGGCTTTGTTGTGCCGTCCGACTTTGGCCTTCTGACAGGCCAAACATGAACGGGTCCGCTGGCGGATATCTGTGTTCATGCTTGGCCAAACGAACCGCTCGCTAACTAGGCGCTGGGTAGTGCGGATGCCAGGGTGAGCTAGATTGTGCAACGCGGCAAAAACATCTCGTCTCATCTCGTTTGGCACAACGGGTCGGGAGGCACCGCGCGATACGTCACACAAGATTGTACCTGGGGTGGTGGAAAGAGGAATGGCTTCGAGTTGGAGACTAGTGTGTTGAAGGCTGTCACTGAAAGTCGGCTGATTTTGCAGTTCTGCCATGCGCTCCAAATCGATGGAAGGGCGGGTGATGGCATTAATGCCAGGCCGAGAAAGACAGTCAGAAACTTGATTATAAAGGCCTTTAAGAAATCGAATGTCTGTGGTATACTGAGAAATAAAATCGAGATGGCGGGCCTCGCGGGGTGAATACTTGTCAGAAGAAGTAGAAAGGGCATAAGTAAGAGGCTTGTGGTCAGTATAAATACAAAAATCTCGGCCCTCAATATAATTACGAAAATGCTTAATGGCTAAATAAATTGCAAGAAGTTCTCTACCAAAAGTGCTATAGCGAGTTTGTGGGGATGTCAATTTGGCAGAGTAGAAAGCCAAGGGCTGGGTGCCAGTGGGCGTCTGTTGCTGAAGGGCAGCACCTATAGCGAAATTAGAGGCGTCGGCCACAATGGAAAGTGGGGCATCAGGTATAGGGTGAACAAGGACAGTTGTATCCGCAAGAGCCTTCCTCGCACGATTGAAAGCCTCTACAGCTGTGTCAGGAAAAGAAAACTCACGGTTGTTCCCGCGTAAAAGGTTAGTAAGTGGTAGCATTAATTGAGCACAATGAGAGATGAAACGTCGATAGAAATTGACAAGGCCTATAAAACGGCGCAGTTGTTGAAAAGAAGTGGGAGTAGGGAAATCGCGAATAGCTGAAACTTTGGTATCTATGGGATGACAACCAGAAGCATCTACGCGATGTCCTAGGAAAAACAGCGACTGTGCGCCAAAAACGCATTTAGAAACATTAATGAGAACGCCAAATTGGCTCAATCGTTCAAAAATGAGACGCAAATGTTGTAGGTGCTCGTGTTCACTGGAACTTGCTACCAGAACATCGTCGACGTAGACAAAAACGAACGGTAGATCGCGGAGGGCTTCGTTAATGAAACGTTGAAAAGTTTGGGCGGAGTTGCGTAGCCCAAAAGGCATCCTGACAAACTCGAACAGACCGAACGGTGTTGTAATCGCCGTTTTGGGAACGTCTTCTGGAGCAACGGGTATCTACTGGAAAGCTTTGATTAAGTCAACGTTGGAAAATATTGTTGCTCCAGCTAGGCAAGATGAAAAGTCGTGGAGATGGGGAAGTGGATACCTGTCAGGCACAGTGGAGGTGTTTAACCGTCGGTAATCCCCGCATGGATGCCAGTCAACGAGAGACTTTTTGCACACCATTTGCAGAGGTGCGGCCCATGGACTAGTGGAAGGCCTCAATATTGCCTAGCACCATCATGTGACTGAATTCAGCCTTGGCTATGGCTAACTTATCGGCGGCTAAACGACGGGGACGGCTAAACACGGGTGGTTCAGTAGTTAAAATATAATGTACAACAGAATGCTTGATAGGTTGGTTAAATTGTGAAGGTCGTGTGATAGATGGAAATTCCGAAAGTAAACGATGATAGGGAGTAGACGAAGGGATTGTTGAAATGCGTGGATTAGGTGATGAAAGGGTACGAGTGGAACAATTACAATGTAAAAAAGTCTTAGGATCAAATAATTTATGGGACTTAATGTCAACGAGGAGACCGAAAAAGGATATAAAATCAGCGCCAAGAATGGCAGTATGGACATCAGCGATAGTAAATAGCCAACGAAATGAACGTCTTAGACCCAAATCTAGTGTTAGGGATCGTTGACCAAAAGTTTTAATAGAAGTATTGTTAGCTGCTTGGAGGAAAAATGAAGAATTTGGTGACTTACGGTCAGTCAAGGTGGGTGGGATTAGACTGATCTCCGCACCAGAATCCACGAGAAAATTACGACAGGAAGTCCTGTCATAAATGTGGAGTAAGCGACTGGGAGAGGATGTACCGACCACGTTCGTCGCCCTTACTGGTCGGCAAGGGGGTTTTCCGACGCGGGTGTTTTATACTTGCACGGAGAGTGGCAGCGATGGGCGTTAGAACCATAATTGTGATGATACCAACAGAAACCATCAACTGTAGGTTTGTTTGGAGTGGGAGATCTCGGACGGCGAGAAATTGCAGGACTACGAGGGTTATAGACGCGAGTGGCCCGGAGCTGGGAAACTTCGAGAGTGAGGGCATCCAGGCGTTTGACGACATCCTCGATTGTGGGGGCAGTTGTGCTTCGACTGGCGACGTTAACCGTAATAGGAGGCTGGTAGTACTCGAGTATACGGTCAGCAGTCTCCGCAAGCATCTGAACAGTCGACGAAGGAATGTTAGGCGCAAGGATGGCTTGCACAGAAGGAGGCAACCGTTGGAGGAAAAGTTGCTTGAACATGGTGGCATCCAGCTTTTGTCCGTCTGCCAACTGCTCCAAACGCCTAAGAAGCTGCGTAGGCTTCCTGTCACCGAGGTCCTCCTCAGAAATTAAACGCTGGAGACGTTTTTGCGTTGAGAGGGAAATGCGGGAAATGAGGGCCTTCTTTAGGGCAGTATAAGGGGCTTCTGTGGGCGGGCAATCTATGATGTCGCGGAGGTCGGTGGCGATGTCCATTGGGAGTGCTGCCACAACATAGTGAAATTTCGTATCCTCTCGTGTGATCTGACGGAGGGCGAATCGTGACTCTACAGTGCGCAGCCATAACGCGATGTCACCGAGCCACACGGATGGCAGGTCAAAAGTGTGAATGCCGGCTATCGGCTGGCTGCTAGAATCGCTGGACATAATTAGCCGGGGTCGGTCAGAGGTCAGATAAATGAGGTAGAGGACTGGCGCGTTGACAGAGAGATTGAAGGGTAGCGCTCGTATTGGATGAAAGGGTGAGACAGTGTGAATAGCAAATAAGGACTAGATGAATAATCTGATCGATAAAAATTAGAGTGAGGATTAATCCGAATGGAAATAGTTATGCACAGAGATTAAACAGAAGGAGCTATGAACGATATAGGGTCACCAGTATAAGAGACAAACCCACTAGTTGGGCACAGTGAGTAGGCTATCCAGGAAACGAGAATAGCAGTATCCCAACAGTTGCAAACTAGTAAATAAGAACAAAGTCGTCAGCAGGTAAAAGTGCACGTGCGTGTTGTTTGTCTTATTCAAAGTTGTGTCAAAGCGGATTGTAACTGATTAAAACAAAACAGATTTAAATGTCACTACAAATGTGAAAGAGGAGACAGAAACCTGCTTCTAGTCTTCGAACCCATAAAAATTTTTAGGTTAGTTAGCTGGCAGCTATCTTAGTAGGAGATATTGGGGTGTTCCTTATCTGAAGGTTTTTTTGAAAAACGTCTTTGAACATTTTCAATTTTTAAACGACTAGCCTCATTCATCAAACCAAAGAATGGGCAACAATACTCGAGAATGGGAAGTACAAACATACGATAGAGCCTTAATTCAATTTCAGTAAGATAGAAATTGTAAGAAATAAAGCCACAAATCTGGGCCGCTTTGGCTGTAATTCTGTCAGCGTGTGGCGAGAGATCAAGATTACTAGTGTAGCTTAAACCTAAATCCTTGATGGTGGTACATTCAGTCATAGGTGTGCCTTGAAAGATCACTGGTTGGGGTAGTTTGTCAGGCCATTTTGAACTCCTAGCTGAGAGAGGAAGCAAGTCAGCATGGATTTAATCCAGGCAATGAAGACTCGTATATTTATGGAAAGAATATACACATTTGAGATCATCGGCATAAGTGAATGATTGAGAATGCTTAACTGCCGCCGAGATATCATTTACGTAAAGCAAGAACAAAAGAGGACCTAAAACGATGCCTTTTAGGACACCACTTACAATAGGGCTTTCACTGGAAAGTGAAGACCCCACCAAAACCTTTTGGTTACGATTAGACAGGTATGACCTGAGAAAGTCTATTAGCGGACTGCGAATTCCCATAGCTTCTAATTTAACCAAGAGTCTTTTACGTGGTACTTTATCAAAGGCTTTACTAAGCTCAAAATAAATAAGGACAACAGATAGATGATAATTACGAAGAGAGATAAGTAGATTGAGAAACGACGAATTACATGTTTCACAAGAGCGATCTGGTAAAAAAACCATGCTGGGAAGGACTAATAACTTGATTGGCTATGCAAAAGTCAGTAATTTTTAAGGCGATACTTTTTTCAACGGTTTTAGCGAGTGAAGGCGTTTTATGGGCACCTCGATAGTTCTGCACGTCAGAACGACAGCCAGACTTAAATACTGTAATAATAATAGAAGTTTTCCAATAGTCAGGAAAAAAGCCATTTACGAGAAATGTTGAAAATAGTTTGCTAAGTAGAGGAGGAAAATCTCGTAGCTGTTTTATAAGAGAGTTTGGGATATTGTCAGTGCCTACTGAGTGAGAGTTAGGAAGATGCTTTATCAGTTTTTGAATAGTTTCAGGAGAAAAATTAATGATGCTAAGAGAAGCATCAGACAACGGAGGAATTAAAGGAATTGGGTCAGTTTCGATGGTGAAATGTTTGACAAAGAAAGAATTTAACATTGCTGCTTTGCCTGTTTCATGTGTAATGAAGGTATCGTTGGTACTAAGCAAAGGCGGAATGACTTGGTGGGACTTAGCTGAGGATCTTTGACGGAAAATCTGAGCAACTGATTTACAAGCATTCACGTCATTAATAGCTAAAAACTCTCTACGCCTGTCTCGCGGAAGTCTCATTTTCGAAGCTAATTCAAATATTTCGACGATTCTTAGATGAACTGATAATGAGCTCACAGAAGGATCTTTAAGCTGCTTCTGTAGCTTTTTAAGTCTATTTTTAAGAAAGTGTGGAACAGCGGTGGAAGTGGCACTCGATTTGAACGTCTTCCGTGGAATAAGGTCGAGAAGACCTTCTGTTACGCATTGTAATAAATTGTTAAAAAAATGTACGTCATTATTTGAAAAAATATTGTGCCAATCAAGAGTGCTTGTAAAGCTATTTACTAATTCCTTGTTAATATTAGCAAAGTCAAAAATACTGCGTTGTACTGTTGGCTTTGCGGAAATGGCAACTGGAAGGCGACAAAGAATTAATGCATGATCACTTGCGAAAAGGTCATGATAGAGATTCATATATAGAGGGAAGGAGCCATTAGTGAAAATTAAGTCTAAAACACTATCGTTTCTGGTCGAAGAGTGGACTAATTGAGTCAGGTTTGAAAAGTAAATGGTGTCAAGAAGCTTCTGGAATTTAGGAGAGGAAGTATGTTTGTGCCAGTCAATTTCTGGCAAATTAAAATCGCCTACGATAATCTTGACATCGAAAGGAGTCTCCGCAATTTTTCAAAGAGCTCACAGACTTGGCTTTCATTTCCGGAGTAACAACCTCACACTTTCCATGCTCACTGTTTTCAAACTTGTTTTTTTTATATTATTTTTGGACAGGTGTAAGAAGCTCAAGAGCGAGGGCTTTATCTCTTATAGAAATTGACCTAATCTGACTTGTGTATTTAGCTGTCCGCTCAATCAGTTTACATACATTGATTTTGCTGGATTAGGGCCTCTTAAACTGATTTCACCGTCTACGAACAGTTCTCGAGATTCCTCGACTTTGTTTTCTTGTCTAAATTAACAATGGAGTGGAGAGAGTACGCGACTGTTACCAGATTACTCACTTAAATTCAAGCAATGAGTCGACAGACACGGTAGTCCGACTGTCACGAACGACGAGGCTAAATGCTGACTTTAGTTCTGAGAGGCGACTTGCGAGATATTTTTTTCTTTGCGAATCAGAGTTGGGGTAACAGCTCCGCCTAACGTTATCCCAAAACGGTCATATTTCAATTTCAAGATAAGATCATTATTACCTGAGATGGGCATGGATACAGTGGCTGATAGAAGTGAGCACCTCGTCCACACTTGCAACAAAAAACCTGGCTACTAAGTCTAACTGAACCAGACTTCAATCAGAAGACCCCTGAAAAGGTGCGAAAAATTTGGGAAACTGAATACACAGTCTATCGTCATCCTAACCTCAGCCCGTTGTTTTACCAGGCGTGTTGCCATTTTTTCAATAGGCACGTGCTGGGCGTGGT